ATTCTGTCTTTTAGTTGTATTTTTGAAGTGGTTGCGTGAGGAGCAATCTCCAGTGTTTACCTATGCCGCCATCTTGGTTTCTCAAAATGCTTTTTTCTTGAAATATTAATGTTTATTGCATGTAAATTATTATACTTAAGATCATTTTCTTGGAAAAATTGATGTTTATTGCATGTACCATTATTATATTTAAAACTAGAGGCCCAGTGCATGAAATTCGTGCATGGGGAAGGGGGAGAAGGGGAGAGAAGGGCCCCTCAGCCCGACCTGCACCCTCTCCAATCCAGGAGCCCTCAGGGGATGTCCTACTGATGGCTTAGGCCCGCTCTCCATGGTTCTCTGCTCTCTGTGGAGCCTTCCCTGCTCCACATCATGGTGACAGGCAAGCAGGCCCTGCTGGGCGCTGCCTGTGGGCCGCACTTGCCTGCTTGCAGATCACCGCAGCGACCCGCCATGCCCAGCGACCCACCAGCCGGCCCTGCTGGGCGCTGCCTGCGGGCCATGCTTTCCTGCTTGCAGATCACTGCAGTGACCCACCACATCCAGTGACCCACCAGCAGGCCCTGCTGGGCGCTGCCTGTGGGCCAGCTAGCCTGCTCCGGGGTCCCTGCGGAGACCTGCTAGCAGACCCTGATGGGTGCTGCCTGTGGGCTGTGCTTGCATGCTCACGGGTCCCCACAGCTACCCAAAAGCAGGCCCTGCTGGGCGCTGCCTGCGGGCCACGCTTGCCTGCTGGGTGTTTGCCTGCTCCAGGTCACCACAGCAATGCCTGCTGGGCTCACATTGCCGGGGTGATGCTGCCAGCATCCTGCCCCGGCTGCTATGGGCACCACCACATTTGTCGTGGAGTAATGGTTAATTTGCATATTACTCTTTTATTAGATATGCTAGTTTCTCTTGAGATAATAAAAAATAAAATAAAGTGCTATAAAGGATTGCTGACAAAAAGAAACAGAGAAACCTAGCCATACAGAATTAAAATGGCTATAAATAAGTACCTCTCAAAAATAACCCTAAATGTAAATGGATTAAATACTCCAATCAAAAAGCATAGGGTAGCAGAATGGATACAAAAATATGACCTAACTACATGCTGTCTACAAGAGACCCACTTCAAAACAAAAGACACACACAGGATGAAAGTGAAGGGATGGAAAAAAGTTTTCCATACAAATGGAAAAAAAAAGTTGGAGGAACAATACTCAGATCCAACAAAATAGACTTTAAAATGAAGACCATCACAAGAGAAAGCAAAGGTCACTACATAAGACTAAAGAGATTGATCCAACAAGAGTATATAACATTGG